TAAAAATAATAATAGAAATGATCGTTAGACGTAAACATACTTTATCTAAAAATATTAGAGCTGATATTAATAACAGATTTAAATAATTAACGGCTTTTATCAATTTCATTCTTTAAAATTCAACAGAAATTCAATCAAAGTTTTGCCAATCACTTATTCATACAAAGATAACGCTTTACTCTTCAATCTGTTCTTAACAAGTATGTATATTATACTTTTCCCCCATTCATATGAGAGAGGACAGAAAACTTTAATAAAATCTTCTTTATGAGAGCATCCGCTGACTGAAATTAAACACAGATTTTACGATATTTTTTTGGTATTCTCGCTTTCTGCAATGTGGCTTCCACCCGTTGTCTCTATTTGTGCATGTCAAATAACATTTCATTGACTTTTGCAATTTTTCGAGCGTTATGTTTTACAAGGGCACATATTGGGGCAAGCGTGGCAAAGGAAAATATGAAACGATTCGCGTTGAATTTGTCAGTCACATACGAAAGCCAATGAAGTGAATTGTGAATTCTACAAATTTGACTGAACTTGTGGAAAAAAACGAATACAAAACATTTGCAAATTAATATTAAAATGTATGCTTTAAAAATATACTTGAATTATTTGAAATTCTCTGATTTTATTTATACACTTAATTCAAACTAATTTACTTAATCTTCTGCTTGTCATTTGTCTCCCTGATATCCATACCCGGTTTGACTTTCTGTTTCTCTTCTGGTTCCACGGGATTTGCGTACTTATACCATATAACAGATACGCAACCCAGAATAACACCAAGCATTACGCCAATACCACATATACAAGCATAAAACGCCATACGATAGCCAGCATTCAACAAATGTTCCAAGAAATCTATTATCGGCTGCACCACATAATAGCAAATCACTTCAATCGGATTTAGTAACATTTTGATACAATTTCTCTTTTTGTCGTGTTTATTACTAAATAGATTAATTCTGTAAAACTCAAAGACTGTGTGACTAGTAATTCTTATCTAGACACATATATAAATTACTTTTTCGTTTCCAGTCACGAATAATCAGAGCAAACATTTCCTGAACTGAATAACTATTGAAAAATTTCAGTTATCAAATTATTCGTCTATCATGGAGTTCCAGGAATATTTGCACAAGCAATTGGCCATATTCAATTACCATTTGCACTCGGACTACGGATTGTTAATCAAGACAGCGACTTGCATTGCATTTGGCGCCGTCTGTGGCTGGATTATGGGCCTCATCACATTGTTGCTATACAAAATAGCCAAATGGCAGGAGATTTTCCCAACCACTGTCTACAATTATCAAGATGATGATATCGACTTGGAATTGGATACAGATAGAATTGGGTATAACATTCCGTTGCATGATTCTGAAAGTCATAGGCCAATCTATAGAGGTCTATAATCACTTAGCACTGGTAAAGGCAACATCGCTGACAGAACCGCTTGTCATTGATCTCTTAAGTGTGTGTATGTGTGTGTGTGTGCATTTTTGTATGTGTCTGTATTCATTGCAATTTAAAAGAACTTCAGCAACAAATTAAAATGCACTTGCCTAACTCAACTGCCTCTTAGACTGTCTCAAGTGTGCGGCAAATTTCAAGTTGAAAACAGTAGCTGAAAAATTTGCCGCAAAGTCATTAGCAGAATTCTCATATACTGGTTCGATGCTGCAACGTTTAAATTCAATTACTCATACGCTCATACGCATATATGTAACGGTAACCATTCCACAGCCGCCACATGAAAAAGATGCTCCTCCACTCGGGGCATGTGTGTTTGCTTTGAATATGGCCACAGGCTCAAAATATTTAATAAACCATATATCTTTTCTTTTCGCCTGCACAACATTTGCTGTGCTTTGCTGTGCTGTGCAAAATTCTTCTTGCTTTTGTTGGTCCGTGTGCTGCTCCGCCTCCTTCTGCTGTTGATTTTTCACAAATAGCCGGAAGCTACTTTTTCCACAAATTCCATATTATATATTGGCTGTCTTTTACGGTGACTGTTCTGTGTGGGTATTGAAGGTCATGACTGGATTTGAAATTAGCCTTAAAGGTTTTTCAAGTTGTGTTTATATATAAATATATACATACAGATGTACATTTTTGTTTTTGTCAGTGATTGGCTGCTGCCAAAGGTTATGTTTTATGAATTGCAAATTTTCACTCACATTTCTTTTGCAGAAACTCAAAAACGAAAATATCAAGAAGAAATCAACATGTTCCAGAGATATAGAAATAAATTCACGAGCTCATAAGTTGCTTAAAACATGCAAATGCGAATGAATATATATGTATATGCTCAGGAATATGTCCCTATCTATTTTCAAATGGAAAATCATTACAAATATAAATGTTTACTTCTTGAGTAGATTGAAGAAAAAAATATGGAGAGGTTTGCAGACTACAAAAATTTAATAAAATCTCTTATTAAAATAGCAATGGAGCTCTGCTTTTATAAATAACCCTTTTTTATACAGTACAGCTAACATCCACTAGAGTTCACTTTTCATGCAGAACTCTATCCGCAGCTATTAGCCTACTTTTACCAATTTGGCAACGTCGCATGTTCCATTGTTATTTAAAGACCATTGTCTATGCAAGCACTTGAGAAATGCTTACAACATTTCAGAAACAGACTTAGAGAGACAGCGCGACGAGAGCTGCGACTACGACAACCCCAATTTTTGGGGAAAGCGAGTTATAATTGCAAAAATGTAACAATGAATTGGGCGGAGAGAGCGGTGCGGTGCGAGTTGGGTCACCGCCATACTGCGGTTAGCATGAAAGAGAATCAGAAAGTGAATAAAAGGCGGGGTTGCGTTCGTATTTAATCACCCAGCCAAAACGCCCCCACTCACTACAAGAGCGCGCAATTCATTCAGTGGATGCTGCCGCTGAATGCAGAGCTTAAGTCTTAGGGCGTCATCGCTACCCCTTCTTTCAAGGGTGTTGCCTGCCTTCCAAATGCGCTTAGGGTGTCATAGCCTGTGATTTTGTCGTTGCCGTCGTTCTACACAGGACAGAAAACAGCTGTCGACACGACAACAAATTCCAAATGCAACTCCCGAAAAAAAAAACATACTTTCCCTATGCCTTCATAGAGACTAAAACAAATCCAGCCCTGTGCATGTAAATACGACGTAATTGATACATAAATAACAGGAGACACTTTACACCTGACGGGCATTGTTCGACTATGAAATACCCTTCGTCACCCTTAGGCATAAATATCAAAAATAAAGATGGCTTATTTTGTATAATTTTATTTTTTTAATTTCTTATTTGTTTTTAATAGTATACTGCACATAATTTTAAAAGTTACTCAGGACTCTTTATATGTGCAGCAAATATCTTGAAAATACTTTAATTATTGACATAATTAATTCTCTTTTGAAGTCTTTTAATTATTATTTAATAATTCATTTTTAAAAATTAAAGTGTAAAAAATATATTTCTACTTAAATCCAAAGGACTAAATATCTAATATTTTAAAATATTTCTTAATATTTAACATTAGAAATAAAATTTGAAAAATAAATAAATAATAGTATAATATTCAAATGTGTTCTTGAATACGCCTCTTCAAAATTGCATTACAGGGTAGTAGGATATCAAACCAGACAGTCGAAACTCCCCAAGCCCTTTGCCATCATAATGCGAGCAGGTTGTAGATTCATTAAGGATTTTCATTTCATTGAAACATGAGTACTTTTCATATATGTATGCGGTGTCGTAAAAATAAATATATGTATATATATT